GCTTTAATTACAGCCTTTAGTCTGTTGGGATACATCTCTACTAACTTTGCACATCTAGACTTTACAATATTTGCCCAATCGTCTTTGCAGAACTGCTCATAACAGGATATTACCACCTCCATGCTTTACTGGAGGAATGCTGAATTCTGGATGGTGAGCTGTATAGGATTTCCGTCAGACATACTGTTTGGTGTTGAGGCCAAATAATTCAATTTTAATCTCATCTGCCTCAGAATCACCAAGGTGCCTTTTGGCAAAGCTCAGTCGTGACTGCATGTGGCCTTTCTTGAGGAGTGGCTTTTTTCTCGCAACCCTCCCATACAAGCCACATTTGTGGAGAATGTGTGATGTTGTTGTCACATGCACACAATGAACACTCTTTGTCATAAATTCCTGAAACTGCTTCAGAGTTGCTGTAGGCCTCTTGGTAGCCTCTCTGACCAGTTTGCTCCTGGCTCTTTCATCCAGTTTGGAGTGATGTCCTGATCCAGGGAGGGTCTGTGTTGTACCAAATACCTTCCACTTCTTAATAATAGCTTTCACTGTGCTTCTAGGCATTGTTAAAACCTTTGAAATTGTATTGTATCCATCTCCTGACTTGTGCCTGTCCACAACTTTATCCCGGAGATCTTTTGACAGTGCCTCGCCACCCATAGTTGATTGTTTGTTTCAGTTGCACTACCAAGAACTGAAATGCTCCAGGAAGCTCTTTTCATACTGAGCTAATCAAAATGACCACAGCTGATCACAGTTGAAACTCAAATGGCTGTGTGCCATTGAGAAGGTGATTAGCTAGTAATTTTTAGGAGGGGGTGATCCTTTTTCCAACTCAATTCAGTTTATTTATTTATTTTTTCCCTGACATGTTGGTTTTACATCTTTCACTTGGATGTTATAAGTTGCACAGTAAATACAGTAAACACAGCTGGATAAAACAAAAACTGTGTCTGTCTTTATTTCAGGCTGCAAAGCAACAAATTGTGATCATTTTAAAGGGAGGTGATTCTTATCTATACCCACTGTACATTTATACATACAAATACACACACAAAAAACCCTCACAGTATGAAATGCATAATAAAAAATAAAGTTAAATTTACTTTGAATCCAGTCTGCATGTATTATTAAACACAGGCTACCTTATCACGCAGCTTTTCTGCATCATGTAGGTCTCTCCTTAGATTGTAGAGATCATTCACCAGCTCCTGGTATTGTGCCTGACTTTGTTGCTTGAATTCCTCTAATGACTGTGAATCAAGCTTTTCGTGCTCTAGAGTTTGGACCTGTGTCAATGATTTGTGTGTATTAGGCATTCTTGTTCATATATTGATTAGTGTAGCCTAAGTGAGACTAAGTGATTTACCTTGGAAGCACTTTCAAGCTCTTGTATACGAGCTGTAAGGAGATCCTTTTCTTTCCGCATCCGCCAGATCAGCTCTGGACTTGGCCTCTGCTCCATGGCATTTTTCAAGGTTATTGTCTTTTTCCATTGGATCTTTGAGTCACTTTCTGCATTCATTAAGCTGTGTTTCAATTTCTCAATCTTATAGAAAGGACCAAAGAGGGGGGAAAGAAAATACACAAAGAGCAAAGATCAAATTTAAAGAGAAAAACAGAGAAAAGATCATAGAATTACATTTGAACAATATTTGACTAGTGGTACTCATAGACATGCTACAGGGATGATGTATTAGGCCAAAACTCAGAAAAGAGTTAGCATTTATAGCACTTACAGTTCTTAAGTCAGTAGGTTTTTTTCGGGCGTTTGGCTAAATGCCTAAAATAAAGTCTGCAAGCACAATATCTTTATAAAGATATTTTTTAAAGCATTTACTTTTCTTGAAAAAGGCTTTTGTTAACAAGTGGCTAAATGGGACTACAGAGGTTAAAGACATTAAAAGTCATCACAGCGAACAGGAAAACTCATCTACTCACTAGTCCTCTTTTGCCAAAGTCTTTTACAGCCTCATTATGTTCATAATCACGTTCTTGCAAACTATTCTAACTCAGACCTTCAGGGAAAATGTTTTAAAATAAAGACTGAAAGAGCTGCCAGAACTGATGGTGGCTTTAACGTAATGCGACTGTGTTGTAATTTGTTTATAGCCTACATTTAGATTGTTACTGCTTGTGATTGCATTTAGGCTTCAAAATTCACAAAAATCGAGTTCATCTGTGAAGAGTATGATAAAACACTTAAGAATCAAAAACTTTTGTTTGTTGCTGGTCACAGAGCTTATTTTCCGCAACAATTCAAAAGTCTAAAAAAAAATCCTATTAGGATCTTGTTGAGGGAACCAGGGAGATGCAACTTCCAGGTTGGCCTACAAAAAACACATAATCACTGCAGCACTCTATTACAATTATTACCATAACTGCAAATCAATAAATAAATGCATTTAATTTCTTATTTCTATCTTTAGATTTTGTTGTGAACTATGACCACCAGGACATGTTCTTGACAGGTTTTCCTGGTGGACTGACTGATCACCTCGAGCTGGAGGTCTCTGTTACACATGAGCGCGCAGTTCTTCTCCTCGCTTAATCGGGTCAAGTCGTGCATCAATCGGTAATTCTCGTCTCTCAGTTTACGAGCTTCCTCGCACATGCGCTCGCGCTCATCTCGGATGCGCTGCACGCGGTTCTGCTGTTTGTGCAGCTCGCTCTCACACAGCTGCAGCTGGCGGATGGTGTCTAGCTGCTCCGCCGCCTGCGCAGACACTTCGAGTCGCTTCCTCCGTTCGTCCTGTGCGAGCTTCTGTAGGCGAGAGACCTCGCTCATGAGGAACTGAGTCAGGCCACATTCACCGGCAGTGTCTGGGTGAACAGACAGAGAGTTCTATAAACCAGTTTCCATACAGACCCATGGCAGACAATATAGTCAACAGGCACAGCATTTCTAGCTATGCTTCTGGACTCTCAGTATAAAAAGCAAAAATTGTTTCTCTAGCACAATATAATAACTATCATTTAGCATATTATCTTAATATTAGTACGTTTTATTAAACAGTTCGTTTGCAAATTCAACCGAGAGAGTGGCCTTCCAACAGTACTGGGACTTGCAATGTTTGTATCACTCTTTCCAGACAGACTGTGTCAGTCTGGACATTTGAGGTGGGGACTTTTCAGAGACTCTTCTTGCAGTGTACATTGTTACAACTTTAGGTGGCAACAAGGGAGTGTCTTTAACAGTGATTTGTTAAATCATTCATTCAACAGGTTAATTTAAAACAGCATACTTTCTGAGTAGGTCACTCTTCTGAAGTACTTTGCAGCTGTTAAAAAAGCATGTTCTATGAATGTGTGTAGTATGCAGTGCTGGGGAGATTACTTACAATTTGTAGTATGTTACTGATTACAAATTGCATGGTGAAAATTGTAGTTTGTAACATAATCTGGATTACACATTAGGTAATGTAGTTTGACTACTTTTTGATTCCTTTTAGATTCCTTTTGACCTAACTCGTTTATCACATACAGTAGTGTGGTAATGTTATTACATACCACAATGATCCAAAAAAAGAAAGAATATATATATATATATATATTTAATTCTTTGTTTTCATTATCATGAAATGCATTAAACATGACATCACAGCAGGGTTTCCCAAACTGGGGTTCGTGAAAAAACTGTTCGTCACAACTGTTCATGAAAAGCTAATAATGAATTAAATCATAAAAATGTTAAAAGCTTGGGAAACCCTACATTACATGAACAAACATTAATAAACATGACATTTTATATCCTCTCTAAGTACCTTCAGGGCCCCCTGGTTAAAAATCCTGTGGCAATATTTAACAAAGTCTGTTCTCCTTTGGCCTATGATGATAGCAGTTGTTAGAGCAATTATGATTTGTATTTGCATAAAAGGTGTGGCTAAGGTATTTTATGCTTAACATTTAAAAAAAAAAAAGGTATACGAATAAACTGATACGTAATTAAAAATGTACAGCTTACCAATAAGTACGGAGAAGACCCTAGCAGGCTCTTTGCCGGTGATTTTGCGGTATACATCTGGGTAGTCTAGCTCCAAACTCTCTAGAAATGCCTCATATCCTTTGAGGCCAGTTCTTTGTAATATGTCCAGCAGCACCCCTATAAGTGAATAAAAAGTCATTGCTGAACCATATCTAGATACCACTTAATATAAACGTATACTTAGAAAATAAGATAGAAAGCTTCAGATTATACAGTAACTATTTCTTTCAACAGTATTTGTTGCATATTTAATGTTTTAAAACAGTTAAACTTTAGGTGACCTAAAAAACGTACCAACTTTTCGGCGTCTAATAACCAGACTGGGGTCGTTGTAGATCTGTTCTTCATCCTCGCTGCTGAGCACTTTACACTGTCTCAAATAAGGTGTTATCCTTGAGGGCTCAATGGTTTTGATAAGAAGCATTCTGTAGTCTTCCAGCTGTGCCCAGCACTCATCATCCTCCTCCACCTCAAAACCCCCTGGGCCGTCAGACATGACTGACACTAGCTCTCTGTTGGCTTGAAAATATTTGTTTGATAGCAGGTTTTAAGGCTAAGCGTGCATTACACATTCAGCTGGTCTGTAAACTGAAAAAGGAAATGAAGTTCATTGAGTACTGCGGTGACATAAGTTCCCATTTTCCAGTTGTCATCAGTTTTTTTTTTTTTTTTTTTAATTTCCCTCTATTTCACAATGAATTGTTGAGCCGCAATGCACTTTCGGTGCTATTTGGTCACAGAATGAGTCCATAAAGTTTTTGACATTTTCTCAAGAAAATGTATAGTCAACCATTATTAATATAAATGTATGATCTTTTTTTTTGTTATTTCACAAACTTTTTGATTCAGGTGTGGGTTGCACATTATGATCATGTAATATAAAAGCATAGAAAATTCAAATACTTATAATACAAAAACACAAAGAACCAAACCAAATGACAACATTTCACAATTCTACAGAACAATTTATTCAAAAAGCAGTAACATCAACAAAATGAAAGTATATGATAATTCAGTGCAAAATTCTGAGTCTTATTTTTTCAAGAAAATTGTCAGGACACACTAAATTTTCTTAAACAAAGCATATGGATGGAGTAAAAGAAATGAGTGCAATGAATATCTGACTGGTCCCTTAAACTCTAACGTTGAATTTTTTGTAGTGGTACACATTTCTACATTAATCTTGAACTGTACAAAATCTGAAGCTACTGGCATTCATTCAGCTGATGAACTCAATGTCGACTCCTTTTCTTTTTGTCCCGATTCCTGAGAAATGTTTTGCTGCTGCTTCGTTTTCATTTGTGTTAAGCTCAGCCCTCTGAAAGATATAGAAAATGTATAAATTCTAAAAAAACAAAAAAAACAAAGATTGATTCAATGTTATACACAACTTACTGTAGCTGGTGGTTGAATCCTTTTTTTTCTCTTTTGTAAATACAAGACCTCAGCATCATCACCATTGTTATCTGTGGGCAACTGAAATTTCTCAGAAGGGTTTATAGTGGCCAAAAGGGCTGGTAAGGTAAAGCATGACAAGAAACGAGCCTTCAAAAGCAGGTACGCTGGATTTGAGGCAAACCTTTCAGCAATCATTTTGCGGATGGCAGCTACTTGATCTTCTTCCTCTCTGTAATTTTGATATTCATCTGGCAGGATATTCACTGCAGCTGCAAGCAGAGATTGTTTAACTTTGAGCAAAGAAGTCAGTGTTTCGATGCTGGCGGCAGACGGTGGAAGGTAAGGCAAAGACATCTCTAAATGAAGTAGTGGAATTCCACCTTTTCCATTCATCCAGTCATCTACTTCAGATGACTGCTCAGGGAATATCAAGTGGGGATTAAAGCTAACAACATCAGAGGGAATATCAGGAAGAGGGATCAATGGTTCACTTGATGTTATGATTTGAGGTACTTCTGATGGAGCCACAATTTGAGGTGGTGGAGCTGCAATCTGAGGGGATGGAGCCACAATCCAAGGTGATGGAGCCACAATCTGAGTTGGTGCAGCCACAATCCGAGGTGAGGGAGCAACAATCTGAGTTGGTGGAGCCACAATCCGAGGTGAAGGAGCCACAATATGAGGTGACAGAGCCACAATCTGAGCTAATGGAGCCACAATATTAGGATATTGAGCTATAAACTGAGGTGAAGGAGCAATTGGTCGGAGCGGTCTTCTAGAAGTAGAAAGGGGGCTCAATATTGTGTCGGGCAAACTTTTCTGTTGGATGACTGTTGGCAGCTGAATAGTTCTTACAGGAACGCAGTCATTTTCATTAACACCAGGAGACTTTGCCACTGCAACATTATTTGTTGGCTTGGATGCGACTGGTGCATTAGCCAAAGGTGCCACAGTCAAGGGAACTGGAAGAACACTGAAAACAGCAGGAGATACTCTGGAACCAGTTGATGTAGATGTCTGATATGGCTTTACAATGGATTCATCAGAAGAGGAATCTGAGGAGTTCTTCATAGCTTCAATGTGTGAAACTTTCTGGTCCTCTTTAGGTGCTGGAGATAACATCTGAACACTATGTAGCACACTTTTGCTCTGTACTAAGGTCGAAGTAGGTGAAAGAGGCGTCTGGATGCCTTTGGGGCTAATGTTCACAGAGGAGGAAGTCTTTAAGGTCTCTCTGGAGGCATTAGTGACTGAAGAACATATAAGGGCAGGATTGACAGAAGAAGAAGCAACAACCAGGGCAGATGATGATGGGTATAGATTGGTTGAGATACATGGACGAATACTGCTATTCAGGGGGGAAATGTTTGGCACAGTTAGTGTCTGGTTGCTTGGGATATTAGCAGAAAGTGGACCGGTTACTTGTACCAACTTGGTGGGGGCAAGAATCCAGTTTACTGGCTGCGTCTGCAAAGTAATGGTTTGAAAAACAACATTCTGTTTGCCTTGGTTTCGTTTCAGCGACTTTTTTTTGCTACCTTTAGCTTTAGCTTCTTCCATTAGGGCTGGGACTTTCTCAGTAGGTTTGTGGATGCGTTTTGTAGATTTGTCGCTGTTTGAGACCTCTACACTTGGTGATTTGGAGGTTGAGGCCATGACAGCTTGTGCAGGTGCTGTCTGCTGTATTAGAGGTAGAGGAATATGTGATATAGCTTGTGGTGGTGACTGTGGTAGTAGAGATATTTTCTGTTTCGTAAGCATTAAAGGCTGCACTGCCCTCTGCTTGTTTGGCTGTGTAATGACAAGAGTTTTGGGATGAATCAAAGCAGGGGTTGTCATCTGCATGACTGGCTGCTTGGGAAGGTTAAGAAGAACCGGCTGCAGGGGAGGTGGATGTTGAGGAGGTTCTGCAGGTTTTTTGTGCTCAGCTTTCTGTTTTGCCTCCTTAAGCATCGCTGACACTTTTTGAGGAGGAGCCAAATAACCATAGGAAGGAAACATTGACATTAAGCATGTTATGGTAGGAAGAATTGGAGTGCTTTGGATATGTGCATTATTTGTTATTATATTTCAAGACTTCAAAATGGATAAATATAAACTGACATACCTGTTCTCGATTTAGATTGAGCAATTGGCTTCTGGAAAAAGACAAAACAAGAGAGAACAACTGACAATACTGAGGGAACACTAATCTTCGAGGTATTACTTTCTTTAAAAAAATACTGCTTATTCATATGCACATCAGCAACAAAGTATGACAACTAGGTTAATTAATTTAAGATGCTGGATTGATAAATACCTTAATGTCGATCTTTTGCTGAATTTCAAAGACAATCTTGCAACCCTTGATATCTATTTGAAAAGCCTGTGTTAAGGAAACACAACCATGTGAAACACTGCCGTCTTTGTTTCTTTTATTTCATCGTAACGGTTGACAAAATTATTAGGCTTACTTTGAGGAAAAATGAAACCACTGATGTTTTTGGAAGAGTGATGTCTGCTGCTTTCATTCCAACAATATCACCTGTAAAATGATTATTGATGAATTATTGACAAAAAAATGCCTTGAATTACTCATAACTAGGTCCATATTGAATCTACACACTAGAGTACTATAAACTAAACTGAACTTATTGCTTAAAGTCAATGTGAATTGTAGTTGCAACTCATTTTACATCCACAGGGTTTCTGCAGGTTTTATAAAAGGTCAATTTAAGACTTTTAAGACCTAGTAAAGAAATTTTAAGGAGTAAATTAAAAGAAACACAATGTCTCTCTTACACAATATGTAAAACAATGTTTTTCTTGTACATATCTTACAATACGTTCTCTCAATATAAATGTCTAGGGAGCTCACAATGAGTTGTATTAGCAGCACTTCAATACCGATCTTCCAACTGATCTCCATTATTTTGTAATTCATTTTACAAAAAAATTTAAAATAATAATAATTGCTTAAAGGGATAGTTCATCCAAAAATGTAAATGTTATGTTTATCTGCTTACCCCCAGGGCATCCAAGATGTAGGTGACTTTGTTTCTTCAGTAGAACACAAACGAAGATTTTTAACTCAAACCGTTGCAGTCTGTCAGTCATATAATGCACGTGACGTGTCTTCTTCTTCTTGCTTTACGGCGGATCGTAGACTTGTAAGTGCATTACCGCCACCATTGGACCATTGACACTCCTAATTGAGATTGTAGACAGAGTGTCAATGATCCATTTGAGAGATAGGTGGCGGTAATGCACTTATAAGTGCACCGGCTGTCGAGGACACGCTCAGGACAGTTCAGACAGTTCAGACGTTGCAGTGCATCAGAGGTAAAAAACTATATAAATACCATTCAGTTTCTTGCACAGACCGATCGTTTCATGTCTTTACACATCAATGTATCGGCACGAGCCGCAGGGTTTAATTTGGTTTTGTTTGTGTATGTTTTTTTGACTCTCAAAGCCGTAATTTACCATTCACTTCCATTATATGACTGACAGACTGCAACGGTTTGAGTTAAAAATCTTCATTTGCGTTCTACTGAAGAAACAAAGTCACCTACATCTTGGATGCCCTGGGGGTAAGCAGATAAACATCAAATTTTCATTTTTGGGTGAACTATCCCTTTAAGGCTTGAATACCTCTGCTCCCAACCACTAGGACTTGAATGGAAATAACTTTTTGTTAACTTTTGTTTTCCAGTGCAAATGTCTGAAGATTCTTAAATCAAAATACATTTACTTACTTGTGTCCAGTAAAATTGATTTATGTTTAAAACATGAACAAATATCTGTCAGTGGGCTCAGATAAAATCAACTTTATTAAAATGAAAATTTTCATATATACTATTGACAGATATTTGTTCTTGTTTTAAGTATAAACTTTTTTTGTTTCAAGACTTTTCATTTTACATTGGCATCTCAAGTAAACGTATCTTCAATTAAGTATGTTACATTTGCATTGGAAAGCTATTTTATTATAGATTTTTTTTTTTGGAAAACAAAAACAGGAAGATATTAATTTTGGCAATGCATGCAACATTTAATGCAATGACTGCTCTGATGCGAGAACTTTTTTAAGGCTGCAAATTGTGCAAGGGCAAATTAAGACCTGCATAAACCCTTCTTTAATAATGTGACATATTCTGGAGTGAAACTAGATATTTAACAAGAAAAAAAGGGGGCGAAACTTTACTCATCAGCAATTAACTGTCTGATATGTGAGGCTGCTAAAACATTGCTTCAGTACCACAAAAACCCACAAATGTTTAGGTGTTTTGTCAGAAGTGAAACAAGGGTCTGTACCTGTGCAAAACGCATCTTCATTCGCTGGAGCAGGCAGGATCACATTACCAATCCACGGGGTGATGGCTTTAAGGAGGTCATTATTAAGGCTAGCCATGTCCTGAACCGGCCTTCTTTTCTTTATATTTATTGGACTTGTCATTTTCTCCTTCAAGTTATTTTGAAAGGAAAAATGCATAAAATCAATGTAACGTAAGTGTATTATTTATTTAAAATAATATATTTTCTACGTATGATATTATAAAGACAATACTGCCTTAACAGTTTTAAGTCTGAATAAGGCTATAGTTTTAAATCTTATTAGCTCTTAGAAAGTGGTAACTATTTTCTAATATACTTAAATAAATAATAATAATGTAATGGCCTTATAAATGTAACATCAAGTATCATCTGTGTTAACCATACCTTCTTAATAACAGATGCTCCTTTCCACTGTAGGAAGAGTTTAATATCACTCAGAGACACCTTGAGCATGGCCTTCTCATCGTCAGTCTGCATGCATGAAATGAAATTCATTTTTACACAGAAGCATTGCAGAACATATAAATAAAATTAAAAACGGGTCTGACCTGAAAAGAGAAAGAAAACATCTTACCTGACTCTGCAAGACAGTAGGTTTTAAACCTACATAAGTTCTTTCCACGTTTCCAAAGCGGTTCAGGACAGTATTGCGCACGAAACCGAGCATGACTTTTGGACATTTGCTCTTCTGTGATCGAATGCGGCTGAAGACGAGGATTTTAGTGGATTCCTCTAGCTCATCCTCGATGGTAGGAGGACAGACCCACACAGTCCTGACAGCTCCTAGAGAATGAACCACTGTGTTTGCATTTACAGGTATCCATTCCTTCATATCTGGCTGTACGTAGTCCTTTCGTGGTATTTCCATATTTTGTGGTATTTCCAGATCTTTGGGAACATCTGATTCAACATCACTGTCCATATTATTTATCTGGTTTTCATCCTCGGAGCTGGTGATCATCTCTTGTTTAATGTTTTTTTTCAATACTTTTTGTCTTTTTCCTGGCACTGTTGTTGGCCTCCTTTTTCTTTTTATGCCTTTACTCTGATGCTCTTTACTCGTACTCTGAAGAAAAACAACAACAACAAAATGTTTATGTTTATTTATGATACTTAATCTTCTTGAAGGATGCAAGATATATTGAAGAATGAACTTACAGCTTGTGTAAGTAATTTCCACTTATGTAGGCATTGGCAGTCAATCCGGTTTGGGATCTCTGAGGCAATCTTACTCCACTTGCCTGGAAAATAATGAGCAGATGTGCCCAAACATTTTAATACGATGGGCCAAAAATCAAACTTGACTGAGGACCATTGCCCAAAAAAGTAAAATTTAAAATAAAAATTTAAATAATGAATCAAAAATGTAAATTTTTTTTTAATTTGTTAAAAAAATTAAAACAAAAATATACACATTACAAATTAAGATATATTTCAATGGCATTTTAAAAAAACCTTTCCCCTCCTCTTGTGATATAGCATCACAGGCCAAATCAAAGGTCATCACAGGCCAACTTTTTCCCACAGGCCCTGGTTTGGGCATCTCTGATCTAGAGGCATTAGATACATTATGGATAGACTTTGATCTGAAAAACAGCCAATACAAGTGGATAGAGTTTTTTTGAAGGCTGAGACAGTGTCTACATTGAAAATGACCATCTTGAGGATGTCTGTGCTAAAATACAAGTGCCAAAGCTGCATGTTACTTCACAATGTTTGCACTAACCATGAAACTATGAGCTGTGAGCAAAAGTAAAATGAAAATAAAATCTGCTGGTTTAAGAATTTTTGCATGTTATCTCAAGAAGTTGAACAGTTCTATACCTTTTGTTAGATTTTCTCCATATATGGTTAAAATCAAAACAACAACAAAATGATTTCAATGTCATGACGAATCATCTCCTCTCTAAAGTAACATCATGAGTTGGCCTTGACATAATGGTCATTAGTTATTTAAATACACTAAGAGTGTTATTTAGAGTTTTTCATGTTTTTAAAGTCTCTTATGCTCACCAAGGCTGTATATATTTGATCAAAAATACAGTAAAACAGTAGTTTTATAAAATATTTTTATTTGATTGTTCCCTTGAAATTGTAATTGTGATTATTATTTATGATTATCACAATTTACATTGAATGTTTGAATAGCTTTATACCATTGTTTGAAGCAACTGCATGCTATATTCATTTATATGAAAATAAGCACATTGAAAACACTCTTCCTGAAAAAACGCATTGCTTTTCTATAGCATTAAAACTCAAATGTCAACTACACATTGGTTTGGTTTCTTCTTTAAATTAAAAAAAGTTAAAATATGCATGTTATTATAATGCTATTCTAAAACTAAAATTAAAACAATGGAAAAACCCTTAAGAAAATAAACATCTTAAGCATCCAGAATAATGTAAGTGGACTTTTGTTTTTTTTTACAGAATTGTGGCATCCGTAATTATAATCACGATTAGAAATTTGATTAATTGTGCAGCCCTAATTTAAATGGATGCTGGATATTGTTTCTGCCTATTTTAAGACTTATTAACGCTAATTTATTGAGATAGCGATAGTTAATTCCAAAGATTTCACTTACCAACGCCATATTTCTCAACCTTTTCTTTTAGTAGTTCCACCTCCTCTTTGCTCCAAGGCCCCTTTTTCACATTTTCCTGAAGACAATCCAAATACCTAAGATGCAAAAATCTTGCATCATATTTACGTATCTAGCACTAGTCAATCCAGCCAGATTGATTTGGGTGTTGAAATTATTTCAGGGATGTTATTATGAAACATTAGCTGCAGAGCATACATTTACTTTTGTCTGAAATGTCATACTGTACCTGTCACGACAAGCACCGTCGGTCCTGCCTGGCACTTCCAATCTGATTTTCCCCCATTCTTTGGTGCCATATTTTGCGACAGCATTCCGCAACAACTGATATGAAAGCAGTTAGTCAAATTAGTGAACTTGATTAGTCAAATTTGGCATTTGGCATGCAACAGATTTTAAAACATTGTGTCTTCACTGACAGAATATGGTACAAAAGCAATACATTAAATCAGTTTCTCATTTATTGTAAGAGAGTACAATATACAAAATTAATTAAGCTCCATACTTGGTCCTCCTCTTTGGACCAGGGGCCTTTCTTTAAAGAAGGATCCAAAACGGATGTCCAGCGATATGCCAGCTGTGATCCATCACGGCCCTCCATGAAGTATGACACTGTGGAGATAATAAATAATACAAATATATAGCACCTATGATACATACTTATTTCCAAAACACAATTGATGTAAATGGAATCTATAAATGAAACCTATCATAAAGGACATATTCTTGCATTTAAAACAAATTCTTGAAAAATAAAACAATTTTTAAAAGTGCAGTCAGATGCATGAACACATTGTGTGTGATCAATCCCTTGTTGTTCCCTTATTGTTATTTTATTTTGAATTAGGCTTATCCAAGCTGATTTCAGAGTCAGAATGATCTGTTTCAGAAACAAATGTGCAACATTCAGTACAAGAACTCAAGAAGACCCAAATGTCTCACTCTGTATGTAAGGAATGAAGTTGCCAATTCTCATTTTTTCAACCAGTTTTCTGAGGATCTCATCTTCCACTTTTGTCCACTCTTTCCTTCTGAAGGTCTTTGAAATGTAGCGCTGGTAAGTCTGGAAGCACATGAAAGCCGTTCTGTTTGTCTGGAAAAAACATATATATATAATATCCGTTAAAGTATACATATACATATATGAGGTGAAGGTAGTATTGTTAAACATATTAAAAACCTTATTAAATAGCATGTTAACATTAGCAGCTGTTTTGAAAGTGCATGAATTTCTCTACCCTTACCCCAAGAGCCTCTGCGATTTTGTCCCAATGGCAGCAATTGTACTCTTCTACAATTCCTTTCAGTTTAACAATCTCATCCCGTTTCCATACTGACTTGTCAATGGAGGGGTGTAAATAGTTCTGCCAGAACCTTTTCAAATCATCAGCCTGTCGCAACGCTTCAAACTATCAAACACAAACAAGTTCTTTCATACTTTTGAAATGGAAAACTGATGTTATAAGACAGAACTAGATTTATTTGGATGCATCTTAATAAAATAACTTACGTCAATATTTGATATTTTCTCCCAGTCATGATCATCATGGAGATTACCCAGCAGCTGATCGTCTTTCAGGGCACTGATGATATTATAAAGTTTGATTACACATGTTATTGCACACTAAGCACACAACCATTCAAAAGTTTGGGGGTCTGTAAGGTTTTTTTTATTGCTTTTGAAAGAAGTCGCTTATGCTCCCCAAGGCTGCTTTTACAGTATTTGTTCAAAATACAGTAAAACAGTAATACTGAGAAATACTATTATAATTTTTCTGTGTTTTTTATGTGAATATATTTTTAAATCCAATTTATTCCAGTGATGGCAAAGCTGAATTTTCAGCAACCATTGCTCTAGTATTCAGTGCCACATCATCCTTCAAAAATCATTCTAATATGCTGATTCGATGTTCAAGAAACATTTCTGATTATTATCACGGTTGAAAACAGTTGTGCTGCTTAATATGCAATTTTTTAGGATCCTTTGACAAATAGGAATTTCAAAAGAACAGCATTTATTTGAAATAGAAATCTTTTGTAACATTATAACTGCATAGAATTCTTTCAATAAATAAATAAATAACTTAAAATACCTTTACCTTATTTCTACAATTTCTTTCTCAATTAAATCTATTTGTTTTTTCAGCTCTTCTTTTCCCTCATCAGCAGCTCTAGACATCTTGGCACTCAGATAGTCCAGCCTATGAAAACAAATCTCAAACTCTCAAAATTTCTAAAAACGGCCATTTTCTACAAAAATACACACACACGCTTAAATTTACTTAGAAGGCAAACTTGCATTTCTAAATGCACAACTTTTTTTGTATCCAAATAGAACAGACAGGGCAGATATTTAGGTTTGGTTTTCCTTTTTCCAGAACTCACTTGGATAATTTGGGTTGTAGCATCCGTTTCATTGTGTCTTTGGCGACTGCATTGGTCAGCAAAGTTTTCTGCCAACCGTTCCCTGACAGAAATAACCAGCATTTTATTTTTATTCAAAAATCACTTAGATACAAGTAATAAAAAGCAAGCATGCTGTCACAAAACACACATCTTTTTATTTTCAGCTCATCAATGGGTCTGGTACCATGACTCAGCCTTGTTTTGGTTTCTTCATTTGCTGGAGGGCCCTAGAAGCAAACAAAATAAAAAATAATATGCAAATAAATAAATAAATAAATAATAATAATTCCGGGATGCAAGATCATAACATACCAGACCGGTGAGTTTGTCTTTGAAGTAAGGCTTCATGAAGTATCCAAGAAATTGTTTCTGAGGGGGAATTCCTGGTAAGGAGGAGCTAGAAGTGCTTGGGCCAGAGATCTGGGCCTCAATCTCTTTCTGTGGAGGTACAGTTTAAAATAAGAGGCTTTAAAATGGTTCTGCTGTAATTAAACTCATGCAACCGTGCGGCATGAAGACTCTGTTTCAATGAACTCCAGCCCTGATGTTTGTTGTTCACCTGCTGAAGTGCTTGGGCCAGAGATCTGGGCCTCAATCTCTTTCTGTGGAGGTACAGTTTAAAATAAGAGGCTTTAAAATGGTTCTGCTGTAATTAAACTCATGCAACCGTGCGGCATGAAGACTCTGTTTCAATGAACTCCAGCCCTGATGTTTGTTGTTCACCTGCTGCTGTTGATTCTCATTGAGGAGTTGTTCCAGCTCAGCTAGTTTCTCTTTCAACACCTCCTGATAGACCAAATTCATCTGCAGGCAAGTCTCCACATTTTGAGGAAGATCCAACTCATCATCATCACTGTCTTCATATCTCTAATGAGAGCACACCAATACCGTATTAGAAGCATTTTAAAACAATAATGGGAAAATATAATAGAAGCATATATCAAAGAAACAAAATGGTAACTCACAGAATCAGTGTCATGTTCACTCTCTGTTTTGCAAAAAAAAAAAAACAACATACATACATACATACAATTAAGACAAATTAATTTACAAACAAATTATTTGTATAGCTGAAACAGCAGACCCAATACCCAATAATGAATTGCTACTGATTTATCAGATTATGCGTCATATATTTAAAGTTCCCATTGAGAATATAAGGGTTAATTTTTCAGGCCGATGTAAATCGCTATAGATAATAAGATATTATTTGCCTTCCAATACATTAGCACCAAGTGTATTCTCTAACTCTTCAATCTCCCTCTGTATCCGCAGGCGCTCTGCCTCCAAGTCATCACGCCCCTAGAGGCAATTACAAGCAATATAAGAATAAAAAAAAACATTACAAGAAGAATAGTGCGTTTAATTTCTATAGTAACCATTTGGCTTTCTAGATTCTTACCACTCCTTCAACTTCAGGTCCACTGTCATCAGATTTATCATCTGTCCCAGAAACATTATGTATTACATTAATGTAAAGCACAGAGCACAAGTCAAAAACAAGGCTCCTACACTTTTTGGGCAAAACAATTCCATAACCTTTCCATCACCATTCCAGTCATTTGGGAATGGTGGGTAAGGATTTCATCAAACATTTTTTAGATCACTAGTGAATCATTCAGAAAGTTTTGTGAACAAAATTTTTGATCTAAAATAATTATTCACTTATGATTAACTTGATTTACTCACTGGTAAATTAGTGCAATGGGATGCCCAAAAGACAGAGGAGAGACGGGCATCTCTCTCACAGATAGGAGACAGTGACTTACCATCACTGCTGCTGTCAGATGACAGAAGGTTTATAATGCTGCTGTCTGCACCCAGAGTACTCTCAAGAGCCAAAATCTCCCTCTGGATTTGATCCCTTTTCTCAAGTAACTCATTCGATTCCATGTTAGACAAGGTGAGACCTGAAAACATTTTACAGGTTACTGAGTTACAACATTGTACACTTTGCCAACGCGATCTTACTCATTTGCAGGAGTGTAAAGTACATAAATATTATTTCATATTAATATTATTTTGGGCATATTTCACTAGTCTAAAGAATTTCCTATAATTACAAAACGAAGTCTATTTTATTCTCTCTTGAGAATTTTAGTTTTACTTTCCATAAAACAGCCAATGAAACCACTATCATATGATCATGCATCATCATGATCAAAGTTTTCACCAAAGATGGACTACAGCTGAATTAAAAATATTACATATAAAGTGTTTGTTACATATTTAAAACACTGAGAACATTTTAAAGGTTGGTTTACAAAGGCTCTTGATTTCATTTTACATACAGTTCTCAATTCCAAAGAAATGTAGAAGTTTTTTTATTATTATTATTAATATATATTTTTTTACTTTCACTCATGTGTGTGTTTGGTTAGCTAGTAGATGTTTAGGTGAGTAATTTATTTTCTTTTGATTCAGTACCAACTTTCTATATTTTTACCTGTAATGTTTCACATCTACTCAAATGTAATGCTGTAGAAATAAACAATACAGCTTTAAAGAAATACATTAAAACCCTCTATATTCAACATACAATAAAAACTAGTCACTTCTAGACCACAAAGCAGAAAACACAGTACATGAGTATTTGGCAAAGGGAGCAAACGAACAAAATATCTAACTTTAGTTGTCTGTCTGTGCAGTGCGGGCATGTACTTACATTAGCTTTCCTTTAATGGGTCGTGCTGCTGTGAGCTTCAGTATTGCAGCTCTTCTATCAAAACAACACAACAAAAACACCTGCTGGATCCTGCAGCATCTCTGCACTTTAGTCCCTCTCAAATCTTCCGGGACAGCACCATGTTTACAAAGAGTGCACTTAGGGACTTTGCAAACTAGATTCACACTTGCACAATAAATCTAAGTCGTTGCTTTTAATTGCAGTTTGCAAACAAAGATTTACATAAATCGTACTTTAACTGTCAATAATAATTCTTGCCTGGTAAACCTACTCTACGCTCAAGTAACGTCATGTGCGTACAAACGTAAAGCGCGCGTCACCTTCACCGACACTTCATAATAAAAGTCCCGGCGCCTCTCCGCTATCAAAGAATTAGAAGAATGCTTTAATATGTTCATTACTACGTTAATTAATGAACATTAAATTCATACTTACTGCTTTAATATTTAGCATAGATATTGTATATGTTAAAAAATAGATCCAAAACAACACAACAAAAACACCTGCTGGATCCTGCAGCATCTCTGCACTTTAGTCCCTCTCAAATCTTCCGGGACAGCACCATGTTTACAAAGAGTGCACTTAGGGACTTTGCAAACTAGATTCACACTTGCACAATAAATCTAAGTCGTTGCTTTTAATTGCAGTTTGCAAACAAAGATTTACATAAATCGTACTTTAACTGTCAATAATAATTCTTGCCTGGTAAACCTACTCTACGCTCAAGTAACGTCATGTGCGTACAAACGTAAAGCGCGCGTCACCTTCACCGACACTTCATAATAAAAGTCCCGGCGCCTCTCCGCTATCAAAGAATTAGAAGAATGTTTTAATATGTTCATTACTACGTTAATTAATGAACATTAAATTCATACTTACTGCTTTAATATTTAGCATAGATATTGTATATGTTAAAAAATAAAAAATAAATAAAATAAAACGCTTTTAGCATCTATTAAATGTTAATGTAATGATTTAGAGATACTAATTGTTAAATTCTCAATCAACAACAAGACCACGTGACTGAAATAATCTTCTTTATTAAGTCAATAAAGAGCATTCTGAATATAAGGCACATCATCCAATGTTGATTAGTAAAGTATTTTTCAATAAACAAATGCTTAAAATGCTGTAATTTAAAACAGCAGAAATATAAAAATGTGTTAAGTTATACATCAAAATATAATCAAGAATCAAAATCTGGCCAATAATGTGCAATAGAATTTTAAGAAGGGACTCGACTCGTTGTTTAACAAAAGTGCAAAACGTTTTTGAAAATATTGCTGGCCACATACAATACAGATCTTTGATTTTGGTGAGAGAATCCAAGGCACTATTTGGTACACTTAAGTGTTTATATGCTAAGGTTCCTGCTAGAGCTTAATTTGATCATCATTTTGCCCGAATCAAAATCTGGCCAATAATGTGCAATAGAATTTTAAGAAGGGACTCGACTCGTTGTTTAACAAAAGTGCAAAACGTTTTTGAAAATATTGCTGGCCACATACACTCCTACAATACAGATCTTTGGTTTTGGTGAGAGAATCCAAGGCACTATTTGGTACACTTAAGTGTTTATATGCTAAAGTTCCTGCTAGAGCTTAATTTGATCATCATTTGATCACACCTCATTTTGTTATTTCATAAAACCTAAACATGATGCTAATGAAGTGGATGAACAAAATAAATAATGATGTACCACGGTCTAAATGCAGTGAGTCTATAGTGTACGGAACATGATGTTTGCAGAAAAAACTTAATCATGAATCTCTGTGATCTTGTCAATGGATGTCAATAACTGGGAAACAAAACAGAATGTCTCTCTTCCCGACAGCAACTGCCTGTAAAAATACAAAACACATTCAGTGCAATGATATATTAATTTAAAGGGGTCATATGATGCTTTTTTAAAGATCATTATTTTGTGTATTTGGTGTAACAGAATATGTTGACATGCTTTAATGTTCAAAAAACACATTCTTTTTCAAATACTGCTAATATTTCCACATAGTGAGGTAGATATGTGGGGGCGTGTTAGAACGAGCCGTTTTAGGGGGGCGTGGCAGAGTCTTAACTTTGATAAAGAATATCTCTTTGGTTTTGAGACTTTAGTCTTTGCAACTTCAGGGATCTTATCTATGCACAATCAGCTTGTAACACTCCAAAGAGAAAGGAAAACTTGAAATCGCATCATATGACCCCTTTAATGTATTTACATTTCTGATCATTATTAAATGATTATAGAAAAGTATTTACATTTCTGATCATTATTAAATGATTATAGAAAAGCACAATAAAAATTAATGGCCGTTGTTAATCATACTTGATAGAAGTCTCTGCATCTTGAGCTGCTTTGTTAAGGTACTCAGAGGCCACTTGTGCATTGTGTCTCATTGTAGTTAAAGCTGTAGTTTCTTCATATCTTAGCCTCTCATTTTCACTTTTATATCCTTCAAGCTGGCCCTGAGAAGAAAATATCAAAAATAAACACAATGATGGAGTTTTAATCTGAACAATAACAGAAGTGAAATAGATATCTTGATCACAAATTCATATTATACAGTAGTATATAGCTGTATTAAATTATATATGTACCATTACATATAGAGTGCTTGTTATAAGTGTGCTTGTGCATATGGAAAGAAGTCAAACCTGGAGTTGTTGTATCTCTTGTTTCAATTTTGAAATACTATTTTCAGCTTTGACTGCTCGCTTCTGTATTGGATAAAACAGAATTTTAATTTCTTAAATGCAGTAAATAAAACATTTTAAAGATCTTTACACCAAAAAAGATAAAAAAGATTTAATTTATTAAACCTTAATAAAAAATCTGTCATGAATGATAGCACAATGCTTAATACCGTCATTAACTGAAGGTTTTGTTCTACTGACTGCACCATTGTCTCCAAAGCCTTAGCCTCTCTCTCCTCCTGTAATTTCTTGCTGTGCAACTCATCAGTCAGTTGTTTGATCCTATTACAATCGAAAGGTTTAATTATGAGAAATCATCTAAAAACTACACAGCAGCAATACATATAAACTTCAGTCCATTAAAGGAATGGTTCAACAAAAAATTAAAATTTGCTTAGCATTTACCCTTAGGCCATACAAGATGTAGACGAGTTTGTTTCTTCATGGACTGGAGTCGTGTGGATTACTTATGGATTATTGTGATGTTTTTATCAGCTTTTTGGACTCTCATTCTGACGGCACCCATTCACTGCAGAGGATCCATTAGCAAGTGATGTAATGCTAAATTTCTCCAAATCTTTTCCGATGAAGAAACAAACTCATCTAAATCTTGGATGGCCTGAAGGAGAATACATTTTTATTTTTGGGCAAGCAATACTTTAATTACCTCAAAAGAATTGTAATTATTTGTTATTTTACATTCAGTAATGTAACATATTATTTGTGTAAATAGCCTACCTTTTGGAGTCAGATTCTGACCTTCTAAGGAGTTCTTTGACTTGCTTTCTGAGTAGGGAATTCTCTTCTCTGAGCTAAAACACATGAAACACAAACACCTTAAGAAATTTACATTTTTGAAAAGCAGCAATGTACCAATTATAATATAACAATTGGCTCATGTATATCCAAAACCTCACACCTTTCTCAATTCACACAACATACCTGTTGGGGATTCTTTGTGCCATTTTCAGCATTACTCCTCTTAGGATGGAAGGAAATGTCAATCACTGAAGTCTCTTCATCACCCTCATAGCTTCCTGTGCTTCTTCTAGCTAAGTGGTCCTTTGGCAGGAAGTCAGAATCACCCAGTTCCCATGCAGTTACATTTGCTTCCCTCTCATCACTGCTCAGAGATGATTGCTCAGAGTAAGCGCTGAGGTCTAAAGTGCCACATAGATCGAAGTCTTGAGAACCATCAAGGGCTGATGGGTGGCAGCTTTCAATCCACGTCTCCTCAGGTTCGTTTTCACAAGGCTGACAGAGCAGAGAGGGGTCTGTGAAGAAAGGCCCCTTCGTGGCAAAATCTATGGAGGTGTTATAGTCCTGCTCGACGTGGCATGCTCCACCATACACCTTTGTAAAATCAAAAATATTTGAAACATTATAAAAAATAAAAAAAAAAGACAAGACAAGAATCTACCAGCAATGAGATTCTGCATGAACTTACTTTTGTTCATTGGCAAGTTTTACATTCATATCTGTAAATACACAAATGTGAACCCTACTTTAATGTCTTTAAAGGGACATTAAAGTAGGGACGTCAGTCAAAAGTCATATCATCTACTAAACCTTAAAATCTTTGCCATGTTGTTTCTCACCTCTTTGCCTTCTGTAGGACAGGGCTGCTGGTTCTTGTTTCTGATGAACTCCTTGAAAGAAAATGGATTCAGCGCATCTTGCTTTGGCTCTGGCTCATCTGAAAGTTAATTTGTACATGCGCACAGAAGACATTAAAAATGAAGATTTTAAGCCCAGAATGCTCTAATACATATTCAAGACAGGCAGCTAGTGCTGCTTTATTATCATGTTGCATTATAGAAAGAGAGAGGAAAAGACAAGCAGGTTGACACGTACCATCTTCAATGATGAGCTTTTTCGTCTCGTGTTTAGACATGTTAACTTACAGAATCAACTTAACCAGATGCGTAAACTATCCAGCAGACTGTAATTGCTCAACATTACACGGTCAGTAGGAGAGGAAAAGCGATGAAGTACAGCAGAAAGTAAAATGTATTCCCAGTAAATGTTTCGTTTAATTATTGTCAATGTCAAACATTATGTCATAAACCATAATTCATTACTGTAGTTTACAAACAGTACTAATCTCCTGCAATACTAACGCCTCTGCTTCTGTATGTCAGAGAGCAGCTTTTCTACAGGAGACATGTGTCAGATCGCCACCTATTGAGGTGGAGATACAAGTTTACAGGTCGGAGAGATGGTTGATGTTTAGTTATGGGAAATGCTGACTATGCTGTTGTTGCATATTAAATGACAAAAAAATATTAATTTCGTTTATTCTGATATCCTCCTGAGAACCAGAAATAAAAAGCTTTGTGAATTTAGTATGCTTTCATGTCATTACATTGTTTAGAGCATAAGAAAAAAATGGTAAAATAACGGTAATAATGGTTGAAAACTTATATTTTATTTATATGTTATGCTATGTGCTCTGTAGAGGACACCAGGACTCAGTTTTTCTAAAAAATAAAATGACAAGAATAGACATGAAAAGGCAAAAACAATGGGATTTTTTTTTAAATCACCAATCAATGTTTAGGTTTCAGGATTTTTTTTTAAATGTGTGTAAAAATTCCATAAACTGGTTTTCCCATTAAGCACAATGTTAT